CATGACCCGTCCATAACTATGGATTTTGTAATGACATTGATCCTTTATGACTAACTTCAGTAGGTCGGTACCATTAAGTACTAATTTAAGTATATGAAATGTCTGAACCCTTTCTACCTATACATTCCTTTGTTCTCTTTTCGTCGGACCCTAATCTTCATTTCAAAACCCTCTTCGACTTCATTAAAGAAGTAACAAGGTCGAGGTTTCTAGTGAGGAAGTAGGTTTCGAAGAATCATTCTACTTAACAAATGTTAGGTCGTTGAACCGACACCCCTCATTGGAATCCTTACCAAAAATCAATAGGAAAGAAGTTTGAAAGAGATAACATGATCGAGGATTCTAGCAAGGAGGTAGGTTTCTTTAGAATCATTCTACTTAACAAACGTTATCTCCTCTATTTCCAAAATAGAATTTATTATTAAGTAGAGGTTTTCTATAAGTACCCCCCTCCTTTTCCAATTTCACCCTCTGATTTGATTTTTTTGTCTTTTATTGTTTTTTTTTCCTATTTTGTTTTTTTGTTGTTTTTAATTCTTTTTTAATTTATTATTATTATTATTATTATTATTATTATTATTATTATTATTATTATTGTTATAAATTTCACACAAAGTTTTAATATTCGAACGACATTATAAATTCGAACGGCTATATAAAATCGGTTTTTAAATATTTTTTTATATTTTATTATTATTAAAAAATTCGAACAATATTTTATAAATCGAACATTATAAATTTGAACGACTATATAAAATCGGAACAAAAGCAAAGTTTGTCCCTATTAATTATGGATATTAATTGGTACGGTATTACAATTGTGCGGTGCGTTATGCAGATTGAAAACATTTAGTCCTAGCATTATATAATACTTCCGATTTTATATAACCATTCGAATTTATAATGTCCGATTTATAAAATGTTGTTCGAAATTTATAACAATAATAATAATAATAATAATAATAATAATAAATAATTAAAAATAACAAAAAAAACAAAATTGGAAAACAAAAAAAACAACAAAAGACAAAAAAGAAAAAAAAATAATGTCAAATCAAATGTCAAAATTTTGATTTGATTGATTTTATAGGGGTAAAAATGGTTAAGCTGGTACATATACTTGGTGTACCTTCTAAGTGAATACAATTTTAGGCCGTAAAGAGAATTTGTTGCTTTCGATCAACTTCGGTTGGTGCATGCCTCCTCAGGTGAGTGATTTTTTGAAGTCCAACAATGTTAATGCATACCACATGGATGGTTGGTGGATGGATAATGTTTTCAAGAAAGAAGGCACAAATTACTTGGTGTACTTTCAATTTTTAAATGAAGTGATTTGATTCCATTTTATTCTCTTAAAAATTCGTCAAGACAGAGTTAATGATGTATGGGTGTATGCAAAAAAGTAGGTTAGTTTGCCTTCTTGAACATGTTTGCTTGATTTTGTAATGGTTGGATATGTATACGATTATGGTTATTTTGAAACGGTTGGATTCTGTGTGTATTGGTTTATGAATTGCTAGATTGTTAGTGCTTAGTTATTTGCCTCAATGTATTATGTTTGCACTTGAATTAATTGATTATGAATTGATTTATGTATTCCTTGGATTGAACCTAATTAGTGCTGGAACCTCTTATTGAATTAGTTCCTTGGATTGAACTTGATTAGGGTTTGAACAAGTTGAGCTTTGTGAACCTGTTCTTCGATTGAGCGTGTTCATGAACCTACTTATTTTGTTGGAGTAAAGCTACTGGTGGTTAGTTTGATTGTGCTACTGGTGGTTAATTTGATTGTATTCTTCGATTGTTAGATTATTAGTGGTAATGACTTGCTTTGTTACCTGGTTATACCTGCTTACTTACTGGTGGTTAAGTAAAGTTTTGTGAAATAAACTTTTTCATTTCAATTCCTTTTTCTTGTTTCAATTCCATTTGCAAGAAAGATTTTTGTAACAAATATGGTATACTATGACAGATAATGGTAGTTCAGATGGATGGTGGCAGACTATGTTGGTAAGTGGTGGTTGAGGTGGACAGGTGACGATTCTGTGATTTAAGCAAGGTTTTGAAAACCGGACCGGAGACCGAACCGGTCGTCTTACTGGTTCGATGGTTAAGTGGTCCAACCGGTCGGACCGGTCTAAAAAACCGGAAAAACCGGATGATGTCATAATTATATTTAATTATATAAAAAATACAAAAAATGGAAAAAATAAATATTTTTTAAAATTTCCAGTTTTGACCGGTTTTACCGGTTCGACCGGTTTTTACCGGTTCACACGAATACCGGTTTTTTGGCCTTTAAAAACCGGATCCGGGACCGGTTCCCGGTTGAACCGGTCGAACCGGCCGGTCCGGTCCGGTTTTCAAAACATGGGATTTAAGTAAAATCATAAACAGAAAGGTTCATAAAAGGTCATTGTCCAATGAAGGGTATATTAGTCTTTTTCACAAAAAAAAAAAAAAAAAACCGCTTGAGGGAAATTTTCATAAAGACCGTTTGAGAGGAAATTTTACAAACTACAACGACAATTTGTGAAATTTAGGTAGGGTTTTTTTTTTTTTTTTTTGCAAAAGTCTTTTTAACCTCTTATTTTTCGAGGCTGAAACAAAATGTTTGTTTTTTCAGAAGACAACACATAAAATAGTCTTTTTGATATCTTTTTTCAAAAGATAAAAAAATAGTTTTTGATTTTAGAAAATATTTTCTAAGATGGTATTCTTTTTCACCATCAATGTTGTCATCACCTCTGCCACTGCCACCACCACCGCCGTCACAACCACCACCTCTATCACCCCCACCTCCCCTACCTCCGCCGTCACAGGTCTTTTTATATGACTTTAAAAAACAAACAATTATTTTTATGAAAACTAAAAACATAAAAAAAATACTTTTGACATACATTTTATTCCATAGACATAAAAAAAACACCGAATACATTTTAATATATAAAAATTATTTATTATTTTAAATTTGTCACTACATAAGGGGTCTTACGTAGGCTCTTATGCACCAGCAGCCTCGGGTAATATGTAGGCTCTTACCTCACGATCTACAACTAAAATATAATTAATTACCAAAAGTATAAATTAAAGTTAAATAAATATAGATTAGGCAAAATAGATAAGTTAAGCAGGCTGTATGGATAAAGAATATATGTTTTTAAAAGGAAATTAAAAAATATTTTTTTTTATTGGTGTGCTAGGCCGGAATGAATTTCCAAGAAGGTCCATAGAATTATATGCTCTAACCATGACTTGCTCACTATAAATGATCATCACCTCCATTCTGTTACCATCAAATCACAATCCAACCCAAAAAAAAAAAAAAAAAAAGTTCATCTGATCAATAAGAACATGGTAAAAGTTCCAAGAATCAAATTGGGTTCACAGGGTTTGGAGGTGTCAGCTCAAGGTTTGGGCTGCATGGGTATGTCTGCTGTTTACGGACCCCCAAAACCCGAACATGACATGATCAACCTCATCCACCACGCCATTGACACCGGTATCACCCTACTCGACACATCCGATGCCTATGGCCCTCACACCAATGAAATCCTACTCGGAAAGGTCACACTCTTGCTTGTACCCTTAATCGCTTATTATCCGGTTAATAAATTCAGTAATTAAAAAGACTTATAAACATGCAATGCAGGCTTTGAAGGGAGGAGAAAGGGAAAAAACGGAGTTAGCTACCAAATTCGGGATCAAGTTTGAGAATGGAAACCGTGAGGTGTATGGTGATCCGGAATATGTCAGGGCTGCTTGTGAAGGTAGCTTGAAGAGGCTTGAGATCGATTGCATTGATCTATATTATCAACACCGAATTGACACACGTGTGCCCATTGAAATCACGGTATGTATAGTGAAACAAGGCTTTCATAATTCATATATGCTATTAGTCATTTCCTAATATGTGAAAATTTAAATTTCTCTCTCGAAAAGAGCTCGATCCTTTGAGGAGAGAGGAAGACTCCAATATAAATTGATTTAGAAGAGATACTGTGGTTTGTATTTCCTAATTAACCTCTGTGATTGTTTTGTTTACTTGAAAGATGGGAGAAATGAAGAAATTGGTGGAAGAAGGGAAGATAAAATACGTAGGATTATCAGAAGCTTCGGCTTCAACCATTAGAAGAGCCCATGCTGTGCACCCGATAACTGCTGTTCAACTAGAGTGGTCCTTATGGTCCAGGGATGTCGAAGATGAAATTATCCCTACTTGCAGGTTTATTTGAGTTTTTACTTGTAAAGGTAAAATAAAAAATAATATTTCCAACTTTCTCATCAATTGATAAAGTAAACTTTGTCAGAGAACTTGGAATTGGAATTGTGGCATACAGTCCTCTAGGACGCGGATTTCTTTCATTGGGTCCGAAGATGGTTGAGAATTTGGCAGATGGCGATTTCCGCCAGGTCAGCACAAAACAAACTGAATCAGATTATCTAAGCTATTATAATATAAAATCATTAAATTGGGTTTCAACTTATGTTTATATATATTTACTTATTCTTTTTTGTAGAATCTACCAAGGTTCCAACCTGAGAATCTTGAAAATAACAAAAAGTTGTATGAGAGAGTTAGCGCGATTGCAGTAAAGAAAGGGTGCACCCCATCACAGCTAGCATTAGCATGGGTTCACCATCAGGGGAATGATGTGGTGCCAATACCAGGAACGACTAAGATTGAAAACCTTCAACAAAACATTGGAGCTTTATCTGTTAAACTAACACCACAAGACATGGCTGAACTTGAATCCATTGCTTCAACTGATGCAGCTAAAGGTGATAGATACATGGATGGTTTCCCCACATATCTAAACACCGACACCCCACCTTTGTCTTCATGGAAAGCTTAATAAATACATCTGTTTCTTTATCACCTTTTTGTGTTATGTTGTGTCTATCATTGTACTTTTGAGGTTATGACTTATGATAATAAACCTCAACTGAGGTACTATTTTTGAGCTATTAAGTAAATTATATATCCAACAACCAATCACTTAATTCATGCACTTACAACCCCCATCTAGAAAAACCCATTTGTAATACAAAATAACCAAAAGACTAAACCTCAAACATATTACATACTCATCATATACACAACAAAAACCGTTACAACTCATTTCCAAAATCTAACAAAGCAAACTTAACATGCAACCCGATCTTCCCACCATCCACAACCAACCTCCCCGCAACCACCAACCAATGACCCGGCGAGTCCTGTGGCCCACGCGCCACCTCATCCGTGTCCACAAACTTCCTCAACTTCGTGAACCGAACCGGCACCGGTGGGCTATCAGGAAACACACCCGAGTTCACCATCGCACCCACTTGCTTCTCAGCATTAGCCACCGAGCCACGTGCGAAGGTGAAGGTCGAGCTCAGGTTCGTAAAAAGACTCGACTTGCGAGCCACCGGTGCACCGGCCCACTCGGTCTTACGTATGGTGCAGTTGGGCAAGTGGGTGAAGAGTAGACGGAGGTGTAGTATGGTTTTGGGCCATTTTCCTTTTGTTATGAGTTGGGCCCCGGTTACTATGAAGACTCCGGGTGTTTGACTTTGTTGTAGCCAGTTTGGGTCGTGTTTGACTATGGAGGAGCAGACGTTGGAATAGCGTTTCCATCGGACTGGTTCCAGGAATTTGGATTTTGAATTGGAATTGGAATTGGAATTGGAATCGGAATCGTCGGAGCCTCGCCATTGAGGTGGTGTGGTGGGTTTTGGGGAGTTTTGTGTCATGGTGTCGGGGAGACTAGAGAGGTGTTGTACGTGCATTGCTAGTCGGTTGTGTTTTTTTCCTTCGAGAAATAAACGGAGACCGGTTACGGGTTTATCGTCGCTTATAACCTGAGAAAGTATCAAGAAATTTAATAATTGAGGTGTGTGTTTGGTTTGTGGATTTTGATGGAATTGGAATTCGAGATTCCATTCCATGGTGAGTTTCGTTGGAAAATGAACGGAATTCATATTTGATGGGTTGAACCATTATAGGGGTGGTAAGAAGGAATTTAAGTCCATTTTTTTATTGATAGAGGAAAAAACTCTCATTATATCAATATATGTGAATACAAGGTACAATTTTACAAAATTCTATATATTATTTAAATATAGACACCACTTACCTGAGTTGTGCTGACATAAATCTTAGGGCCCAAGAAATTAAACTGTAGCTGAGGGCAAGATGTCTTTCTTCTTTGATGTCTAAGAGGTAGTTCACAAAACAGAGGTGCCCATAGTCTAGGAACTTGAAACTCCAAGAAACATTGCAAGTCTTCTAGAGCAGGCTTATCTAAGCAGAATGATTAACACAAAAAAGTAAATGACCATTTTACCCTTCTACATTTCACATACTCAACTCATCAATCATACAAGAAGATCAACAATGAGATTTAGAGGAATTTAATTTCAATGACTTACAGCGTAAATATAAGTTGATGGCATGACTAAGATATCCACTCCCTGGAATCCCATTAAGAAGAGAAGTAATTGGCACAAATTTAAAGAGCATTGCTTCAGGATTATTTCCAACTGTCTGAAGCCATTTTGAGTGAGTGTCTGAAAATACATCTCCACCTCTTTTACACTCAATAACTGTGAGACCCTGTTTATTATTGAAGTGTATTATGAATTTAAGCTCCAAATAAAACTATTAAGCATTGGTTTTCTAGCAAGTTGTTTGGTGTGCTTTTAGGATTGTAATTTACACAAAACAAATAATAATAATAATAATAATAATAATAATAATTAGTGCAACACTAAATTTTATATCTTTAAAATAAGCAGTTAAAGTTTTGAACTTTTTGATGTATATCGAATAAAGCTTCTAACTTTTTGATGCATATTGAATAAAGTTTGAATTCTGTGATGTTTATCGAATAAAGTTATGAACTTTGTGATGTTTATCGAATAAAGCTTTGAATTTTGTTATGTATGTTTAAGTGTAGTATGAATTTAAGCTCCAAAAAGAGTTGTTTTTAGAGATAAATTCATAGTACACTTCAATAACAGAATTTTAAAAATATTAAAGTTAGTTTTGCAGTGTTTGGTTTTAAATTGTTTTATCTATGTTGCAACTTACATCCTTGCTTGAAGTTTCTGTAACATTAGTGAATTGCATTGTATGTGGCTGCAACATACGGTTGAACACATCTGGAACCTAACAAGGAACCAAGAATTATTAAAAAAAAATTACATAATAGTTCAAGAATTTAACTAATAAGTAAAATAAAAAGCATTACTTTTTGTTTTCCATCTCTTGTTTTTCTCTCTATTAGAGAAGGACTCCTCCCATCTGAAAACAAACTATCTCCAAGATCATCCAAATATCCTCTAAGTTCTGCAGGAGAAATAGTTGAAGAGGGTTTTTGTTTAACACAGATTAAATCTTGACCTCCAACAGCCATTCCCACTATAATGTGTGTGCCATAAGTTTGAATGAATCTGCCTCATAAAACATATCTGATAAGCATTATTTGTATTAAGTCAATTGTTATCTACAATGTAAAACAGAGGAGTACCTAGCTAGTATCAATGGATTCCAGAAAGTTGGAACAGATTTCTTGACACTTTCTTTGAGTACTAATGGAGATGATGTTAGATGCAAATAGTAGAGAGAGATAAAGTAACCATCAAAAGCAAGATATTTGGCATCTGTGACATCATTTAACCATGCTCCACTTAGATCAAATAAGGCATTGAAGTATCCTGATGGGACTTTTCCTTGTATTGATGATTTTTGATTAAGTAATTCTGACATCTACAAGAAACACATGAGAAAAAAGAATGTTAGGCTATTCTATAAATGTCGCATTGCATTGGATTTTAAAAGTACTAATAATACTCTCTGAATTTTGTCAAAAGCTGCTATAGATTTAACAGCTGAATAAGTCAGTGGTGCTACTTTATGATAACTCACAAGATTCCAAAAACACAAGTGACTACAGAAGACAATGAAAGTCTTGAGTCCACATGTGTACTTCCAAAATTAGGTCACCTAAGCTTGCAGTCATTTGATCTTATTTTAATTAGTAGATTTGAAATAATTAGTAACTAATGCAAAAAATAGTTATCACCTTATCGAACTCTAAGCAAAAAAGGAGTTAAGAAGCTCATCAATTTTGAATCCCAAACATCAAAAGTATACCCTAATTGGTATATGATCATCGCACATAAACTCCAATTGCATAGAAAAAATAAAATAGAAGGCGATCTTCGTAAAGGAACAAGTGATCACCTTGTTAAATTCCAAAACATCCGATTTAAAGCGAATACGATCTCCTTTATCACAACGAATATCCTCAGAAACCCCAGAAATGGTGGTGCCACAGCCTGGAAGAACAATGTCTCTCTTCCTCGATTCATCCAGCTCCACTAACCGTCCACCATCAGGACAACTTTTCGCGAATTTTAACCGAAAATCGCTCGCAACATCAAACCCTAATCCCAAAGAATCCAAAGCCCTGAGCTCGATCGGCTGATTAGAATAATCCATCAAATTGCTAACAAAACACACAGAGACTTGAATTTAGTATCAATCGATCGGATTAACGGCCACAAACAGGGGAAGTAGTAGAAATAACGGAGTGATGAAGCAGATATAGAATTGGAGTACTGTTGGTAGCAATTATACGAGCTACAAAATGGGAGTGGAGACTGATTCTGGTGATGATAACGACGTTTGACCTGATTAATTATATCAATCAGAGACTGGTGGGGCAGTAGGTGTGCCATTTTTGGAGCAACCAGTTTGACCCGGTGACTATAGTTTGGCAACAGCACGGCTCCTTTTAGACTTTTTCCTCCACCTTTGTACCGCCTACCAAATTCTACCGGCCAACATTTACGCTCCTGTTTATTTAAAGACTAAATTATAATTTTAGTAGGAGTAAATTAATGAAATTACCGTTTGGTCCCTGATCTTTATTTTGTACTTGGACCGAATGATTTTAATCATTTTATTATGTGTTTCATCCCGATGGATATTAGAAGACTATATTACCCTTTATAATTTACTTTAACCTTTTAATTATTGAACTTATCTTTTTTAATAATAATTAAAAATTAACTAGAGTGGGGCCCGTCCATACCCTTTCTCTCCTTTCTTTCTCTCTTTCCTTCCCGTATCACACGAACCAAACTCCAGGTACAGCCACCACCACCATGCCAGAAGCATCCATAGTTGTCGGCGATAGCATATGTCTCCGGTGCCACCTGCACGTCACCATCGCTTACTCTCCTACACTTTATAAAGTAGATTCGACTTGTAGATCTTGACAAGATGAGTGAGAGTGTGTGTGTGTGAGAGAGAGAGAGAGGCATGTGAAGCTCAACATCAATCATCAAGAGGAACCCATGGGTGGCGCAACCTTTAGTTTATCACCATTAGCGTCACATATCTCTCGTCAGTTACACTCACACATTGGACCTTCGTTCATCCTCTCATGGTCAACATTGAGGTTGTTGTGGGAGTCAAAGGTCCTTAGTGACAACGTTGGGATTGTTTCGGGTTCAATTTTAATGCTTCGTATTCGATTTACATATTTGAATCATTGAATGCTTTAATTTTGAAATAACAGGTTTATAAAAATCCATTCATTTTGAAGATTTGAATTGTTGAATGCTTTGATTTTGAAATAGCAGGTTAACAAAAAGCCACTTTGGGGGTTAACTTTGAATATTCACTTTGTTATGGAGTTTATTTTTATTTTCGTTGGTTTTTTTGTGTGGGTTACTATTGGTAGATGAGAAGGACCGGAGGGAATGGATGGTGTGGAAGGTTTTTTTTGTTTAATTTCACTTTTAGATTTCAGATTAAGGTTTTGATTTCAGTCAGGTTTGATTACTATTGGTAGATATGTAACGTATACCACTGGGAATACGTTAAAGATAAAAAAAAACTATTATCTTTAGGACGGCCTAGCTAACGGTCGTGATCCGTCCTAGCACTAGACCCGGGCCCTCGCCCTCGCGCAAGGACCCCGATGCTTGGCACCCTCGCGCCCAGGTCCAATTCCTGACGACAATCTTCAGTCCATAATAACCCAAAACACAGCTGGTTGTTTCCCAGAGCGACAAATGTAGCGCTTAGGGCGTTATCCTCTGTTTATTCTGCACCAATAGCAGATGACCACTAGTGGTGCACGATCCACCAATGGAACTCCTCCACGTCCTGTCGGCCCAGACGGGACAAAGGACACTGTTGGGATCATGTGCAGACAAGAACATGTATAAAAGGAACCCTTCTTCTCCAAAAAGAAGGGATCGTCTCCTTACTATCCAAAACCCCAATCGCCTTATTCTCATACACATACTAACTAGACCATCGAAGCTTCATCTTGGGACCACCTCCCGGGCGTCGACTGACGTTATCTCTTCATTGTTATGATTAGAGGACACTACCTAGCCGGAAGATGTCATTCAGTCTCAAGAACGTCGGGGAAACATACCAGCGCATGATGGGCAAAGTGTTTGTAAACCAAATTGGTAGGAATCTCTTTGATTGATCGTTTTTATGTTGTATTTTTCAGTTTGAGGATGGTGATGACTACTCGCGGAGGTTCAGGTTCAGGTTCGGGCTCTGGTTCGGGTTCAGGTTCAGGCACTGAACCGAATGATGAGCGGTTGCGTGAGCTTATTGCAGCCGAGCTTACTCGCGACATCCTTGCCGCTACCCCAGTGATTTTTGGTACCCTTCAAGGAGGGAATTATGGAGATCATGGAGGAACAGCTCAGGTCATTTCGAGCCGAGATTGCCGCGGGTCAGTTCGGGGCTCGAGCTCCCTATTTTCGGGAGTTCAAGGCGTGCAGGGCGCCTGACTTCTTTGGGGTTAAGGACCCCATCACTAGCCAACGTTAGATCTCTGACATGGAGAATGCTCAGTGCACGAGCTTTTTCCTTGAAGGGGAAAAGGTTGGATGCGCATCCTGCTTGCTGAGGGATAGGGCGTGGGACTGGTGGGAGGAGGTTACCCGAGCTGTAGGGATAGCAGGAGTGGTTGAGATGACATGGGAGGACTTTGTTCAGAGATTTCAGAGGGAGTTTGTACCAGCCATTGAGGTGCAACAGCTGGCGAGGGAGTTTCATGACCTTCGTCAAACCATAGAGACTGTGGCGGAGATCACCGCCAAATTCAGGGAAAGGGCACTGTTGGTTCCGTAGTAGGGAAAGACACACACACACACACAATTCACTCAAACACTCTCAAAGAACACTCTTCCTTCTTCTTCATCAAAAATTTCGAGATCTAGGAGCTTTCAAGTAGGATTCTCCCTAAGAGTCATCATCTAAGGTAAGTTGATGCTTAAATTCATGATCTAGCTACTTCATTTCATCAAAAATCTCTTCTAAATCTATTCAAACTCGTGATCTTGCACCTTAGAACACATCTAAGCCAAAGATCCACCAAGAAGCTTGTTAGGCCGAGATTTGCATCAAACTTCTTCCATTTTTCTTCTAAACCGAATCCACAAACTCAAGGTGAGTTCATACCCCTCTCTTTTCGGTTTTCATAAGTTGTATGCTATGTATGATTTTATGCATGTATGTGTGATTTTATGTGCTTATGTGTTGAATATGTAAACAAAAAGGGAAGAAAACTCGAGATCTATGGCATGAGTAAGAAAACAAACAAGAACTAAGGTATATTATACTAAACAAGTCAAGAAAATTACCCTCCAAGATTATGATAAACATATTGTAACATAAAACTAATTTTTGGGCTTAAATTGTCAAATAAACAAAAGTTGAGTTAAAAATTGCCATTCACGGTTTTCTTAAGGGTCAAAAGAGTCAAATCAGTTAAAACAAATGTCTTTATGAATATTATGCTCTTCAAAGGACTTGAAATGTAAATATTAGCTTAATGGGCTAATTTTTGGGCTTTTCGGCCCATTAAGCCCAAAGTTGCGAAAATCATGACTTTCAAAGGGCTGAAATGGTAAATTCTTCAAAACAGGGGATAAAAAGTTAAACAAAACTATTTCAAGGGTTAAAATGCTTTTCTTTTCCAAAAAGGATCAAAAATGTAAAGTTTTTGGATTTTGCGCCAAAGTTGTAAAAATTGCGAAAAGTTTGGACTTTAACCGAAAAACACTTTGCTGGAAGGTCTGAAACTGCCCAAGAATAAGTTTTGAGCTAAAAATATCATTTGAACAACTCTATGATTCAAAAGTGTCAAGAAAATGGTCTAAGGGTTTAAAATGTCTTTTCTTTTGTATAAAGGACTAAAATTGTTATTTTTATTAAAGAAGGGATGAAAAGGTCAAACCAATATTTTGAACCAATTATTTTATTTTAAGATATTTGAGTCAAAAGAATACCAATTTACAACTTACGAAAACATAATGAAGAATATACCTATATTTTTAAAAACATCATTATAAACAACCGAACGGTCTCGTGCCGATCCAAAAATAACAATCGTTCAATCAAACCTTCCAACAATTATGCAATACCTAAAACAAGTAAACATTCAAACTTTGGGCTTGAAAGTTCCAATCATGCTAGTTGGACCTTTGTGATCCATTAACATGACCGTTGGGCCCAAGGGATAATGGTAACCAATGTTATTGGGCCTTCTATGACCCAATTCCATATTAAAGGGACCTTCAATAGCTTTTAAGTGACATTGGGCCTTAGTGGCCCATTAGCATTGCTAGTAAGGTCCAAGTAATCAAATGCGAAATGGGCCATCGTGTCCTTCGTATACCCAACAGCCTAAAATAACTTACGGAAGTAGCAGGACTTTGTATTCCTCTTCTCCTCGTTTGCTAGGCTTATGTGTAATCAAAGTAAACAAATTCAGGTCGTTAATCAATAGTAATCAAGGTGGTTTGGATTAAGTGAGTAATAACGGACGACACCTCTATGGGTCGTTCGTAGTTGGTAGTTATAACCAGTCATTACCATGCATGGTTACAACGACTCACAAAAATTTGATAATATCCGACACCACCCGAGTAATCAAGGAAGAGTAATCAAAAATCATTTGTTGTGGCGGTGTAGCAATTCGTAAACAAGTATATTTTGCGTTATCGGAAAACATCGGGTTTTTCGAGGAAATCAACACCACTCGCTTGTAATTTCTATAACTATAATACAAAACTCCCTTTTATATACACGTTTTGAAATCATTCATGCATCAACTTATGGATCTTCACACTTTGATAAACTATTGCCTTTCAGAAAATGTCGGATTTTCTGGGTTTTACAAACTACACAAATCATTTTTATCACAACCTTGCTTATGAACTCACCAACATTTCATATGTTGACGTTTTTCAAAATAACTTGTATTCTCAGGTAACAGGTAAGCTGAAGGGTAATATCAAGTATGTTAGGATATTATGTTTTGAGAACTCTCAAACAATTTAAGGTTGTGGATGTGTAATATTTAAAACAATGTACTGGATGTGAACAATATTAGTTGTAATGTATTGATGCACGGTGATGTTTATGTTATGATTCATGTATATTCATTGTGATGATATTCAATTTAAGTCACGCGAGCCCTCGGACGTTTACGCCGTCTAGTTTCGGGGGTGTGACATTAATACCTTCCAGAGAGCCCTTTCTGATGCAGAACTTGAGACCCACCAGCTATTGCTTCAACTAGCTTTCTTCCCAAGAGATTCCCTCACCAACAATCTTCCT